TGAGAGTCCTGCGAACATAAGTATGCACAATCGGGAGGCAGGTATCAGACAAAGAGGAGGAAGAAGAGGAGGGAAGATCAACCACAGTCATATCACTAACATATGAGTCAGGGGAAATATTAGAGGGAAAGAGAACAAGATAGATAAGATCAGATTATGCATAAATGAACTAGATGAAATAAAGAAAAAAGGAATATGCTCCATAACAACATGGCGAGAAACATAAGAGTTTTTGTGTACTAGGATCATAACACCGAAATCTCCTTTGTCCCTCCCGTATCCAAGAAAAATACATAAGGCTGAGCGAGCCGAGAGTTTGATACGATTAACACTAGGTAGCAGAATAAAATATGTACATCCAAACACACGTAAGGAAAAATAGTCAGGTATCTTACCACATAATTTTTTAAAAGGTGAGACACCAGAATTAAGGATTGTAGGAATGTAATTAATCATATGAACAATTGTAAGGACTACTTCTCCCCAAAAAAAGCTAGGGACACCGGATGATAATAACAGAGAACGATCTGTCTCAATAATGTGACGATATTTCTGTTCAGCCACTCCATTTTGAGCAGGTGTGTCAGTACAAGAAAACTGACAAATGGTACTATCAGATTTCAACAAATCACGAAAAGAACTAAAAGAATATTCTCCACCTTGATCACTGCGGAAGCATTTGATGATAGAAAAATATTGAGTATGCACCATAGTACAAAAGGTAGTAAAAATGGAAAAAAACTTAGACTTTTGTGTCATTAGATACACCCAACAATATCTGGTATGATCATCAATAAAAGAGACATAATATTTAGACCCCCCTTTAGTAGCAATAGGAGTTGGTTCTCAAATATCAGAATGTATAAGATCAAAAGGTGCAAGAGAAAGAGAATTACTTTTATTGAAAGGTAATATAGTAAACTTAGCCAATTTGCAGTCACTACAATCTGAAATATCATGACACTCTAAACTACCCAAACTACCAGTAGAAGTTAAAAATTTTAAACGAGAATGAGAAACATGACCTAAACAAGAATGTCATAAATAAAAACTAGACGATTTTGGACTCAATTGAAAAGAAAATAAATTAACAGTAGATGCAACAACTTCAGGGACATGAAGCTCGTCCAATACATATAGCCCTCCATTTCTATGGCTTGTCCCAATCAGCTTCTTAGATCGTGGATCTTGCACAACACAACCAACAAAAAGAAAAGTGAACTAAAAATCCCGAATCAAATAACTTACTAACAAAGATTAAATTTAAAATAAATTGAGGAATATAGTAAATATTAGGAAGTGTATGCTGGTAAGAAACGATAGTTCTAACACCAGTCAAAGATATTTGGGTGCCATTGGTTGCAAGGACAGATATAGAGGGAGGAGAAACAATAGAAAAAAATAAGGAAAAATTACTAGTCATATAATGGGTGGCTCCTGAGTCAAAGTTCCAGGCAGTTCGAGATATACCTGATGGACCTGTAGTGAATGAACTTACAGAAGGAGAAACTAATAGGGCACCTGGTTGATAAAGGGAAATAAGCTTCTGTAACCGATCAGCTATCATAGTCATGCTAAGAGCTGATGGAAGTGACTCATCCACTAGTGTAGTAGTTGCTGTTGTACGACGATCTTTGAGCTTAAATGGCTGATGTAAGGCCCCCTTGGCATTCTTGTTCACCAATTTAGGACATTGAGCCTTCTAGTGACCCTTCACGACAAAAACTACACTCATCTGAAACAAGTTGACCCCGATATTTAGTCTGTGAATAAGAAGTCCTTATGGATGGTACAGTTAGTACAGTCTGATTAGGCAATAGAAGAAAACTCTTTCCAAAAAGAGTCTTAAGACAGACTTCTTTAGCCAAAAATTCATTCACCACTGCATCAACTGTGGGAAGTGGGAGACGATGGAGAATAGAACTACAAAGTCTCTCAAAGTCATCTCTAAGGACTACCAAAAATTGCACCAACCGTTGTTTCTCCCTAAAAGTAAGATATACCATACTCAGTTCAAGAGGTTCAACAAGTGCTAACTGATCACAAAATCCAGTCATAACCAAGTAGAACTCTTGTATGGTCTTATCACCCTGACGTGCAACTTAAATTTCATGCTCAAACTGATATCTTTTTGCAAAATTGAACTGAACAAACAATATAGCTAAATAATCTCAAATCTCCTTGGTTGTATTAAACTTAGTCAAATGCACATCAACGGTCTGATCAATTGAATTGTTAATCTAAGTGATGATTTTAGCATTGTTGATTTCCTAGGTATTCTTTAAATTAGTATATTTGTCTACCTTCGGATTTGTTGGAGCTTGCAAAGCACCACTAACATAACTTCACATTTCTTTTTCCAACAAGCAATTCTTCGTCACATAAGACCAATATACATAATTTTCACCATTTAATCTGACACTAATAGCCTAAAGAGAATCAGAATGTCCACCTGTCATAATGTTAACAAAAGGGTCAATGCTCACAACAAAATAATATCCAAAATAAAGCAGAAAACAACAATAAAAATAGATTTTCAGCAACAATCCTGCAAGCCAGCAAATCAAGAAACAACTTCCCAAATCCAACCACAAAATAGTAATCAAATGCATAGTGAAGCAAAACAGTCAGTGCACTATGAAGGGAGAAACAGTCCACCAATGCACCGTAAGCACAAATCCAACCACAAAACAGAAAGAAGAAGGTATCAGCGAAGCCAAGAGAGACCTCCCCAGAACAGAAACCAACCAGCAGGGGCCAAGAACAGAAACCAACCTAGAAGGCGACTGGTCTTACTATGAACAGTAGTCCGACAGTCCAAAGCAGCCAAAATCCAACCAAAACTCAACCAAATGCCTTCCAATCACACAACCAGCTAGCTTACACCCTTAATCACACCCATTGAAAAGCCCATGAAGAATCGATTATGGTAGTGCTCTCTCCGACCCCAAACTGATGACGTCAGCAATGACATCAACCCTAATTGGATGACGTCAGCCCTCATTCAAAAGAATTTAAAGAACCTGTTGTGTTCTTAAATTTTTTTTTTTTTTAGGTATGCTAGGATTGAACAAAGCTCTGATACCATATTAACATTGATCAGAGGCAAGAAAAGAAAGGGAGAAGTCAAGAATATTATTGAGACTAATCCAATCAATAATACAACTTTAACGAAGAATACACAATGTAGGCCCTTATATATTAGGGCAACAAAATAATATAAAATGCCTAAATTACCCATAATATAAATACTCTAACACTATTCACAGCCCCTATTTTTATTTTACAAAATTGTCCTACATCAATGGATATGAGCAAATTCGCACAAACTTTTATAATTGATTGATGGAAGTATACCCCGAGGAGCACAATCACAAACTGTAAGGGCTATTGAGTGATTTCCAAACCAAAAAGGATATCATCTAAGTTGAAATAATAAAAAGTATAAAAAGTGATATTATGGCTAGAAGAAAAGAGAGAAGGATAAAAGAAAGGGAGATGAAAGAAAATAGAGTAATCAGTTGTGCAGCTACGTTGCCCTACATTCTCTTATTTATAGTAAATTGATATTACACGAATTACAATATTCCTTACACTACTAATAATATAAATAAGAATTCTAACACTCTTCCTCAAGTTCGAGCATAAAAATTAAAAATATCCAATTTGGAACAAAGATTACTAAAGACAGATCGAGTCAATGGTTTTAGAAGGATATCACCAAGCAGATCACTAGACTTGATGTATAGTGTGATATTCTCCTTACGCATCAGGAGATTTGGAATAAAATGGCAACCCACTTCAATGTGTTTAGTCCTCATGAGATGCCTAATTGTTGGAAATGAAAATAGCTATCTAGTAGTCACAACACATCTCTATAGGAGAGGGCACATTGATACCCATACCACGAAGTAGTGAATGAACCCACAACATCTCACACCAATATGAGTCATTGCCTAGTATTCAGCCTCTGGACTTGAACGTACAACCACATTCTGTTTCTTACTACGCCAAATAACAATGTTACCACAATAAATGTGTAATAACCTGAAGTAAATCATCTATCAATACGACTACCTGCAGAGTCAACATTAGAAAAACCAATAATAATCATAGAGCATGAAGGCCTATATAACAAATATGACAAACAGTCTCGTAATGAGGCTTACAAGGAGCGTGCAAGAATTGACTAACTACACCAACATCATAGGTAATTCAAGGATGTGTAACCGTAAGATAAATCAACTTATCAACCTATGAAACACGGATACTTCGTTGAGGTCAATGTATCCGTATCGGATACCATATCAGATATGATACTCATCGAATACTTGAGGATATGTATTGAATACACACTTCCTGCATATCTGGTAAAAATGAAATATTTGGATACTTTACGAATACTTTTGTATTCGAACTACGCTTATAATTTTTGAATTTAATCTTTAACATCTTCTTTTGAATTCACATACCATACAATAATACATCAACAAAAGTTCATACTACATTGAAGACACGTGAGTATTTTTCAAGTATTATCTACAATTACATGTCAAAAAAACATAAAATGAATCTGTATAATCTTAGCAATAAAAACTTCTAAAAAAACCCACTATGTAAATATTGGTTTTCATTTCTGTAAATAGTGCCTTCACTTTGTGAATATATCACAATGATATGATATATACTTTTTTGAAACTAATAAAAATTGCTAATTTTCCTTATTATTGCAAAGAATTAACAAAATATATAATTATTAAATCGCTAGAAAATAGCAAAAATATAAAATGCATTTTATTATAAACGTATCACGACCGTATTTGTATCTATATTCGTATATGTGCTTCATAGTTACTACCACACCCTACATCATAAAAAAATTCACCTCTCAACATCTAACTTGATCCTAGAGTCCATAGGAGTAACACATTTTCGTTTCAACAAACTAATACCTCCCTTTGACTAGGCAACCTTGATCCCAAGAAAATAATGAAGAATACCCAATAGTGGTTGCCGGGTCCCAATGCTGAACTGTAAGCACCAGGTCCAAACAGTAACAACCAAATCTGAACAATACTGGCACAAGTAGTGGTTGCCAAGTCCCTGTTGAAGCCAAAAAAAAAATCAAAACTGAACCCAAAAATAGTTGGCTCAGTCACAGATCTACTCTAGGGTCTTAGTCGAACCCTTGTAATGCAAAACAAACCATCAAAAACTCCCAGATGGCGTCCAAGAATCAGATCAAAGAATCGGCTCCAAAAACTCTAAAAAACATTCAACAATGGAAAAATCTGTATAGACGACTAGGAAAATCACCACAAATACCATAGCAAAAATTCTAATCATCAGAAATTGCTAACGTCATCGCCGGAAAGTGCTGATGTCATTGCCAGACAGTGACATTAGACTGGGCAGCAGCCTAAGGTTGATTCTGTTATGTTTTCTTCTAATTTTCCTGCTAGAATAATGCTCTAATACCAAGTTGAAATAATAAAAAATAATATTATGGTTAGAAGAAAAGAGAAAAGGAGAGAAGAAAGAGAGTAATTCTTTGTGTAGGCTTCGTTGCCCTACACTATCTTATTTATGGTAAACTAATATCAAGGGAATTACAATATTCATCAACGGCCTTTGGTCTAATGGTACTTCTTACCTTCTGAAAACTTTGCCTTTTTAAGGTCAAGAGTTCAAATCTACCCTTCCACTCTCCTCCCCCCCCAAAAAAAAAATAAACATAAAGGAATTACAATATTGCCCTACATTACTAATAATATAAATAAGAACTCTAACAATCTACAATTGTCGGAAACCATGTGTTTGGTGTCATTATAACTTTCCCAAGTATATTTTACCAAAAGAAAAAAGTTGAACATACATCCCTCATTTGACTATATTCAATAAAGAAAGTTTAATGGACGAGACATTATAATTGTCAAATAATATGCAGAATTTTGTTCCATGTTCATCAATTCTGCTCTAAATGAACAAATCTATTTTGCAAATGAAAATACTTGATGCAGACAAGAGAGAGAAAGATAACATACTGCTTCTTCATGTCTTCAAGAATTGCTGATGCTCCTCTGAACATCTGCAAGAGAGCAAGGGATTAGACAAGCATGCAATCTATGATCACATCAAAATTTACTGTAATCAGGAGACTTACTGTTGACCCACAGTCACCATCGCCTACTTTGCTATCCCATTCATTTAAACTGTCCTTGAGATTAACAACTTCAGTTGCTGCTGCTTCTATAGCCACCTCAAGAATATGGCTTTCTGGATCTAACTGTTGTGGTTGACTGAATGCCTAACCAAAAGCAGAGTGGATTAATGATGCTGTCATAATACTATACAATTCTTAAACACGAAATATATGATCTCTAAAAATAAAATGCAGCAATATTTTGTTTAGCCATCTTAGGGTGCGCTTAGTAACCTTTTGTTTTTATGTTTTTTTTTAAAAAAAAAACAAAACTAATTTTTTTTTTTCTGTGGTAAAAATTAAAAATATAAAACATGTTTGGTAGCAAGGATCAAAATATCGTTTCGGTGTGTTGTTTCGGTCACCTAGGAAACAGAAATGGTTCGACGTATTTCAGAAACGTTTCGACCCGTTTTGGAAACATAATCAAAAAAATAAAAAATTAAGAATTATTTTTTAAAAATATTAATGAAAATATATCAAAGTATCTTAAAACATTTTAAAATAATTGTGCAAATACATTTAAATATTATAATACATTTAAAAATATTATGAAATGTCTCGAAATATTAGAATTTCGATTACATCAATTTTTCGTTTCGGTCTCCTTGGAAATGGAAACGTTTCGGACGTTTCGAAACGATATTTTGATCCTTGTTTTGTAGTCATTTATATTTAAAAAATTATGAAAACAAAAATAAAAAATATGTTTGGTATTATAATAGTGTTTTCATAGTTCATTGTGATTATTTTAATTAATTTTTTAATTCCAAATACATGTCCACCCAAATCACCGAAAACCCACCCCTCCTCGCTCAGCCACCACCACCACCACCCAACCACCGAAACTCACCGTCCAAACCACCACCCATACCACCGAAACTCCACCACCCAACCCACCCAAAACCGACCGCTAGCAGCCTCGAAACCCACTACCCAAGCCACCCAAAACCACAACCAATACCAGTCCACCACCACCGATATACACACAAAACCCAAAACCCACCACAACAGCCCCCGAAAACCCAGCTGGAACAGCGCTGAAACCCACCACCCAACCCACCCAAAACCACCACCAATACCAGTCCACCACCACCAATACACACAAAAAAATCCATACACAAACACAAATGTTGAAATCAACAACAAAATAAAACAGAGATGAAGAAAAATCCTTAAATCTGCACAAATAAAACCTAGTGAGCATCGCCGATTGAGAAGAAAGTGGAGAGCTTCGCCGATTTGGATACCACAAAGTTGTGAGCTTCGCCACAGTCACAGACCCACAACATGAGCGAGAGAGAGGGAGAGGAGCTTTGTTTTCGCTTTATATAGGTTCCACAAAAAATGTACTATATTTTGCTTCTAATGAAAATCAAAGGCTGGACCTCATTAAAAGCCTCCCCAAGTCCCGCGTGTTTTCCTTTTTCTGTGTTTTCAAAAACATCATTTTCCTTGTTTTCAATATTCACTCTTGTGACCTTCCGAAAAAAAAAAAAAATATTCACTCTTGTGTTTCAAAACAACTTGACTTAAAAAAACAAAAACATAAACCAAACGTACCATTGTTTTTAATCTTAACAAAAATTGAAAACAAAAACAAAAAAATACAAAAACATTGAATTACCAAACGGCACCTTAATTATTCATAGCTCACGACATGGGTCAGTAGAAGAATAAACAGTCATGGTCACTGAAACTTGTTTTGTCAAAACAGCACCCATGATAGTAAAAGCACATACAATTTTATCTTTCTGTGCTGCCCATCTCAATTGTTAGCAACACAACCTTGGAAGCACCATGCTTCTCAGACACTCCTCATTAGGTGGCCTATACTCTTGAGTGAGTGGCGTACACTCTTCATTGATTCCGTTTCAAATGATAAAAATTAATTTTGACCACGTGTTTGACCCCTTGAAAATAAAGAATAACATAAGAAAGATGGGAAATGGTGGACAAGGTGTCCAACCCAAGAAAGAAAACAATGAACATTACATAGTCTTAACCACACAAATTCTAACTATAGGTAATAAGAAGCTCTCCACCGGCAAAAATATAAAAGAAATAAATGTCATCACAATCCTTTGTAATCGAAGTCCCAAAGATGCTAAAAAAATAAATTTGATCCCATTAGCCTCCCACCACTTCATATCTATCCTAAAAAATCCTTGGATTCCTTTTCAACCAAATAACTCATAAGGTATCAAAAATTGCACCATTCTGAAGAGTAGTTCCTTTTTATCCATCCCAAAGCTCCTAAAATCTACAAGCAGCATATCAAAAAAGGACCAACAACCCAACTCAATCCTGGCAAATTAATAATTTATTCCAGAACGATAAGGCAATGGAATAGTGCAAAAATAAGTGATCAACATTGGCACATAACACAACCATTGAAAAGAGAGATGCTTGAGGTCTTATGCTCTGCAACATATCATTGGTATTGATATTGCCATAAGCAATAGTCAATGCACACATTACACCTTAATGGGCACCATTACTATAACCAATACTGTTACTTTTAGCTAGAGTTATTATATTAAAGATATCTACAACTTAAAAACAAATTTACCGTAATTAAATAGGTTAAGTAAGACAAATGAAAGTTTTTCAAGAGAGTTAGGCATCAAGATGAGAGGGCATGTCATATTTTTTTATGCTTTCCATGCTTTATACCTAGACATGGATGATTAATAGCATCAATTACAGCAATAGGTATAAAATTTACTAGTCATTAAGTAATGATTGTCATCTAATACAGCGCCGATGGCATCAACTACAGCAATAGCTAAATGTCATTAAACTAATGGTTAGCAGTCTATTGCACAACTCATTAACATGCATACATATTGAGATAAACATATGCATATATGATAAACTGCATAACCGTATAAGTAAAAAACACATTTATTGGTTCCTATTTCCTGCCTCTGTGCATCGTGTTTTGCTTTTTTATAATTTGTTCTACCAGTATGTCCATCGCATGTGATATCCATTTGCTGTATATGTGCTCAGGATTCTTAGGACACAACAGAAGGATATGAATAACAATTGAAAACTAAGAAAAAAATAAATCCCCCCACCCCCCAAAAAAAAGAAAGAAAGAAAGAAAACAAATTCAAATAAAAACGTTACGAGTTATGGTTTAATCAGATGGCTTCACAACCAAACATTTGAATAAGATTCTAGAAAATATCTGTGATCTCTATTTGGAAGAAATTATCTCTGTATTAGATCAATTTGGTTTCAAGTTTCTCAAAAATTGTAATATATTTGTATACATGTATATGAGTTTTTGTGGGTGAATACATCATCTTGTACTTGGACAGAAATACAAAAATCCATCTAGTTCAAACTGATGTGTGCCTAAGAATGTGTCAACACAGTATTGGTTGACAGCCAAAAGTTACTCTCTTTCAATTGACTTTGCTGTTGTAATTCCATCACCTTACAAAGAGTTCTCTGAAGCTCATTGAACTTCAGCTTACCTGACTATATTTCTGTTTACACCCAAAAATAGCAACTCAGAGGGTGACAAGTGAATGAGGGGAGACGTGACATCATGAGCCGCTAGTTGGAGACAGTTTAATGCACGTCTACGCATCTCAAGAAAAAAGGCCAAGATTATAGTCATGGCCAAAAAAGATGGCTTCGACGTCATCCCTATAAATAATAGAGGTCAGGCCACAGAGAAGAGATCCATGATCAAACACAACAAACTCTACACAGAGCCGGTCTACCTTATATTTTACTTATCCTTGCTCCCAATCAACTTTATTTTTCCAGTATCGCATCACTCCAGTGATCTTTAGCTACTTTCATTTAATGCTAAGTACAGTACTTGTTTCATCTTCAGAATGTAGTTTGCTTGTTGCTTTTCATTGCAGTGGTCTCTTTTATGCTTCAGTCCATTACACTATTATTTGAAAAATTATTTAAAGTCCTACAACCCTAAGACATAGAAAAGAACTCAGAGGTAACCTTACTCTTCACTACAATCACCTAAATAGTCACAATTTTTAGAACCTCATGACGGTTTGAGTAGGTAATGTCGTACATGTTTTGTCTTAAGTCTAATCAGACTTTGGCATGCCAGCAAGCCGAAAATACACCAAACATATTTTTTGGCACGCCTAGTGGAACCCTAAGCATTAATATGGCAAACACTCGTGGAAAGGCCAAAATTGGTTCATCAGAAGTGCCTCCAATCATAGTTATCAAAATTATACGATTCGTGATTCAATTCATACTATTCGGTTCGATATAGGTACAAAACGATTCGTATCTTAGAGTTGAATTGCACATGAATCATACGATTCAATTCGTATCTCACGAATCGCACAATTCAATCATTTTTTTTAAAACACAAAATTTTTGCAAAACGACATCGTTTTGTTTGCAAAGGAACTCACGTCCTAATAAAAACTCAACATTTTTGTTCATTCTCTCTCTAACATCGTCTAAAACTCGTCTTGCGTTGTCTAAAAGCTAAAGGTCACAGCTAACGCTCTCGCATCATCGGTTGATTTTTGCTCTCAATTCTTTCGTGGATAGTTTGTTAGATTCCAATTTTTTATTTCAAAATATTGGTCGGTATGTTTTCTCCCAATCAATTTTATTATTTGTTCTTTTTTTATTCATGTTTGTAACCTAATTTATACTGGGTGTCACTATTTTAGTTCTTGAATAGTTATGGTTCTATGATGAAATTTTTTTTTTCAAATTATTAAATTTTAAAATGATTAAGCAAAAGATGAAAATGAAGTAAAAGGTTAGCGTCTTTCCATTTAGACGACGTGATTATGTCAATTGACTATTTTTAGAATGTAATAATGTTCAATATTCAATATCATGTCTATTTTAAATACGTAGGATTATTTTTTATTTTTATTCAAACTTTGTGTCGAATCTTACAATTCACAATTCGATACGATTCACAATTCACAAATTTAAGATTCTGATTCACGATAAGAATCGCGATTTCACAATTATGCCTCCAAATGCACGAGATTATTGAAAAAAATAGGTCAAGCATCCCCAACCTGCAAGGAGAGTTACCTCCACTTGGAGGGCAAGAGAATCGAGAGTCCGACTCAAAGTCGGAA